AACATAGATGAACCTTGAAACATTATACTAAGTGAAAGAAGCCAGACACAAAAGATCATATATTGTATAATTCTATTTATATTAAATGCCCAGAATAGAGACAGAAGATAGATCAGTTGTTGCCAAAAGATAACCTATATGGGAATGGAGAATGGGGAATGGCTGCTAGTGGGTACAGGGTTTCTTTTTGGGTGATAACAACTGTTCTGTAATTAGATAGTGGTCATGGGTGTGCAACTTTGAATATATAATGCCCTGGCCGGTTTGGCTCAGTGGTTGGAGCGTCAACCTGCGGAACAGAGAGTCTGGGTTTGGTTCCCGCTAGGGACATGTACCAACAAAACAAAACAAAACAAAACAAAAATAATATACTAAAAACCATTGCATTATATATTGTTTAAAGGGTGAATTTTATAATATGTGAATTGTATTTTTATTTTTTAAAAATTACAGGACTGTGCCCTGGCCGGGTGACTCAGTTGGAGCATCATCCTGTACACCAAAAGGTTGTGGGTTTGCTTCTTGGTCAGGGCATGTACCTAGCTTGCGGATTCAATTGCTGGTTGGAGTGCACATGAGAGGCAACAGATTGATGTTTCTCTCTGATCTCTCTTTTTCTTTCTCTTCCCCTTCCCTCTCCCCCCTCTCTAAGCATGTCCTTGTGTGCGGATGAAAAAAAATTTTTTTAACTGTTCATCAAAGGACATAGACAACAGAATAAAAAGGCAACCTATAGAATGAAATAAAATATTTGCAAATAACATATCTGACTAGGGGTTAATATTCAGAATATATAAAGAACTCCTATAACTCAACAACAACAAACTATTAAAAAGGGGGCAAAAGGCAGACATTTTTCCATAGGAGATATACAAATAGCCAACAAACATATGAAAAGATAACATCACTAATCATTAGGGAAATGCAGATCCAAACCACACTGAGGTATCACATATCCATCAGGGTGGCTACTATGAAAAAACAGAAAACAACAAGTGTTACAAGGATGTGGAGAAATTAGAACTCTTGTGCACTGTTGGTGGGAATGTAAAATGGTGGCCACTATGAAAAACAATATTTCTTCAAAAAATTAAAAATAGAATTTCCATGTGATCCAGCAATTCCAATCTTGGGTATATATCCAAAAGACTAAAAACAGGTTTAAAGAGATTTTTGCACACCAGAATATCATAGCAGTATTATTCATTATTTACAATAGCCAAAAGGTAGAAGCAACCCAAGAGTCTGATAGATAAATGGATAAATAAAATGTAGTACAGCCCTGGCCAGTTTGGCTCAGCAGTTAGAGTGTCGGCCCACAGACCAAAGAGTCATGGGTTTGATTCTGGTCAAGGGCACATACCTTGGCTGCGGTTCATCCCTGGCCCTGGTTGGGATCCTGTGGTAGGCAACCAGTCAACCAGTCAATGTATCCCTCTCATGTCGATGTTTCTCTCTCTCTCTCTCTCTCTCTCTCTCTCTCTCTCTCTCTCTCTCCCCCACCCTTTTTCCCTCTTTCCCTCCCCCTAATCTGAAGATAAATAAAAAAAATCCACCCTGGCCGGTTTGGCTCAGCAGTTAGAGCGTCGGCCTGCGATCCCGAGAGACCAGGATTCCCGCTAAGGGCACATACCTCAGTTGCAGTTTGTCCCCAGCCCTGGTTGGGTTGTGCGGGTGGCAACTACTCGATATGTCCCTTTCACGTCTATGTTTCTCTCTCTCTCCCTCTCCCTCTCACTCTATCTGAACAAAATATCAAAAAATGTCCTCGGGTGAGGATAAAAAAAAATTTTTTTTTTTAAATCCTCAGGTGAGGATTTTAAAAATAAAAAATAAAATGTAGTACATATAATGGAATATTATTCAGCCTCTAAAAGGAAGGAAATTCTGACACATGCTATAACATGGATGTACCTTGAGGATATTATTGCTAAGTGAAATAAGCCAGTCACAAAAACACAAATACTGTATGATTCCACTTATATGAGTTTCCTAGAGTAGTAAAATTCATAGAAACAGAACGTAGAATGATGGTTGAGTAAATGGGGAGTTATTGTTTAATGAGTATAGAATTTCATTTTTGCAAGATGAAAAGTTCTGAAAAAGAAAAAGTTCTGGAGATTGGTTGCACAATGTGACTATACATAATAATACTGAACTGTATATTTAAAATGTTTAATATAGTACCATTTATGTTATGCATACTTACCACAATTTAAAAAATTAATAATAAAATCCTGTTTTTCAACTCCATCCAACAGGAACTGCCATTATCCCCATTTTAAATTATTTTTATAAATCCTCACCTGAGGATATTTTTTCCATTGATTTTTAGAGAGAGTGGAAGGGAGGGAGGGAGAGAGAGAGAAAGAGAGAGAAACATCGATGTGAGAGAGACACATCGATTGGTTTCCTCCTGGACAACCCCAACCAGGGCCGGGGATGGAACCACAACAGAGATACATGTCCTTGACCAGGAGTTGAACCCAAGACTCTTCGGTTGGTGGGCCTATGCTCTGACTGCTGAGCCAAACTGGACAGGGCTATTATCCCCATTTTAAATCTTGGTAGGCCCTAACATAGTAAGCCCTTATTAAATGTTTAATTAGTTTGTAAGTTAAACCTTCCCTTTCTTCCTTCTGTATCTGTGGCCAGAAGGGAGGGGGCAGTGTGCTAAGTTTGGAAAGACTAGGGAAAAGTCAAATTATGCTCATAATATTCAAACCCCCAAATCAGGAATAAAAAACCTCTAGAATTGAGCCAATAAGTGAAGCCTGAAACAATAGTGGGGGCTCGAGCTAAGCCTTGGGTGCTAGAGGTATCTGTGCTTAGCCATCATGAAAACTGAAGACACTCCTAATTCCATGGATTTACAATACCATGAGACATATTAGATCTTGAATATTAAAGTTTCTGATTAAAACAATGATAATATTTTAATTGCTTTTTTTAAATCACTCTCTCCAACATACTATAAACTACAAACCTGTAAGAGTTTGATTTTTTTTGTCCCTCTTCCTAGGCTTAAAGAATTAATAAAATTGTTTTTAATCACCAGTCAATCAAGGTAGTTGGGTAAATTTTTTTACTTGAACAATTTTCAATTCACTAATGTTTAACATGAAAATATATTAATACAGCCCTGGCTGGTTTGGCTCAGCGGTTAGAGCGGCGGCCTGCGGTTCAGAGAGACCTGGTTCGGTTCCGGTAAGGGTACGTACCTCGGTTGCAGTTTGTCCCGGGCCCTGGTTGGGTCGTGCGGGTGGCAACCACTCAATGTGTCCCTTTCACATCGATGTTTCTCTCTCTCTCCCTCCCACTCTATCTGGACAAAATATTGAAAAAATGTCCTTGGGTGAGGATAAAAATATATATATATTAATACAGTATTTTGAAATTTTTTCACCTTCCCTAAAATTCCAATAGTGTTAAATGTTCTGATTCTGTAATTCATACCCACAAATACTTTAAGAGTACTAAATGAACCACATTGAAAACACAGTTGCTCTAAAGCTAGAAGGAGCTTACGGGTCATTCTCACCATGGGCCTGCACCTGAGAAGTTAATGAGGTCACAGTTGTATGATGGAACAAACCCTTTATGGGATTCTTGATCTGATTGAAGCCCAGAAGTGGTAAGTAGCATAGTCTAAAAGTAGGTCAATCCGAATTTTGTGGGAATCTACATTGAGTCCTTTTTTTAAATGTATCATCTCTATGAGATACTGGAGGTAGATTTTTTAAAGTAATGATAATTTTGAGCCTTGAGGATGACTTCAAAGCACCTTTCAAGTGCCTAAATTGTTGATCCTCTCTGGAGTTTCCCCACTCTGTGGTAGGTTTCCAGGTTTTCAGCACATGTAATTGAGTTGTTTAGAAACAACTGCTTTCTAGGCTCTGAGGTGAAGACCTGGGAAAATTTATTGAAATCTAAACAAACATTCAGAGACGTTTTCTTCATGGTTAAATAGTATATACTTGTCTAATATTCCTAAGCCAGCAACCCAGTTTTCTTCTCAGTGAACCACCTAATACACTCTACATTTTGTAAAGATCATTGGAGAGATAAAACCAACAATAAAAAGGGGAAGCCCTCCCAACCCAGCTTCTGCTCCATAGGCCCCGATTCTCTAACTACACAAAAGCAGAAAAGGACTAGGGAGGCCATAGTGGTTGAGTCCATTCAGGAGGGCCTAGGGTAGCAAAACAGCATTGTATCCTACCCCTACTCCTACTTTTAAGAAAGACCTGAGCCCTGGCCGGTTTGGCTCAGCGGTTAGAGCGTCGGCCTGCGATCCCGAGAGACCCGGGTTCGGTTCCCGCTAAGGGCATGTACCTTGGTTGCAGTTTGTCCCCGGCCCTGTTTGGGTTGTGCGGGTGGCAACTACTCGATGTGTCCCTTTCACGTCGATGTTTCTCTCGCTCTCTCTCCCCCTCCCACTCTATCTGAACAAAATATGGAAAAATGTCCTCGAGTGAGGATTTAAAAAAAAAAAGAAAGACCTGAGAGTTCATAATAAATCACAGGGCACAGGTGGACCTCACAGAAGGAAACCCTGGGAAAATCTACTTACTACTAAGCAGGTATCCAATATATAAACAATTAGATAAACATTTTGGAAGTACTGTTACATTTTATTCTCTGTCCATTAGGACATAAAATGTTCTACTGATTTAAAAATTAAATTTTTTCTCTAAGTAACTTTTCCCACATATTCCCAGGATACTTTATCTGTGTTACATGGTGCCATTTATCTTAACATAGGATCAGAATGACATTACTTGAAGGGGGAACATGGCAAGAAATTTTGTTTAGAGATCTTGGACTAGGAAAAGGGGTCCTTTCACTTTTGCACAAACCTCTAACTTGATTTTATATGTGTTACCATTCCTTGAGGCCCTGGACTTCAAACTTTAGGTCTTGAGCTGGGAAAGTTGCAAAAGAAAGCTGTACTATAGAGAAATTAATCTGTGATCCTTAATTATACTTTCTGATTCTAGACATAGTTACTGGCCACATGGCAGTTTCTGACATTAAGTCAAAAATTAAGCTGAATCCTCTAACAAAAGTACCCAACTCCCATGGCAAGAGGTAAGTAATGAACATATTAAGATAATAAATATATTAAAATAAAGAATTATTAAGGTGATAAATATATTAAATATCCATAAAGGTGGTGATTAAACAAGTTAGAATGCTCTTTAAATATCTATTCTGTGATAAATTTTGTTATAAAACAAACATCTAAGTTGAAGATAAAGATTTTTTATGAAAAGAAAAAGATACATATCCTTTTTTATTAGAGAGACAAAGAGTTCTCCTTCCTGTTCTCCCAAATGAGAGGCTAATTTTGTGTGAGAGGACAGAATACCCTAGAGGGCTTAAGAAGTTGTCAGTTGCCAAGCCGGTGTGGCTCAGTGGATTGAGAGTCCTCCCACGAACTGGTTTGATTCCTGGTCAGGGCACATACCCTGGTTGCAGGCTTGATCCTCATTGAGGGACGTACAGGAGGCAGCTGCTGATCAATGTTTCTCTCTCACATCAATGTTTCTATTTCTCCCTTCCTCTCTCTCTAAAAAATCAATAAAAACATTTTTAAAAAAGTTGTTGTCAGTTATACATTAAGATCTTTTGAGTGCCAGTTTAAAGGAGAATAAATTTAGAGGATTGTAAGAAAGACCTAAACCCCTAAGCAAGTCAAGGATAAAGATTAAAAAAATGTAGCTCAAATATGGCCAGTAAAATGTAATTTAGTTTAAGATGGCGGCAGGGGGTGCAGCAGGCCTGTGAGAAGAGCAGCACTATGGGCTGAAATGTAGGCCGCTGGGGAGGACAACATCAAAAAGAAAAAGAAAAACGGAATAAAAATGAAATCTAGTAAATTAGGGATGACCTAAGCTTGTACTAAAATTAGAAAGGGAGGTTTGCCTGTGACACTAACAATAGCTTTTTCTTAGTCTGATAACAACAAATTTCAATAAACAATAGTCACTAATAACTGAAAGTAAAAGCCTGATCTATACTTTATCAAATCGTAAGAAAAGTCTCTCTCCTCTCTCACAATTATCCATTTTCTTTGCTACTTTGAGAGTATTTCTCCTAGTATCCTTGACTATGCCATTGCTACAGTAATATATTACTTTTTTGGAGAGGTGTGGGTAAGACAACCTTATAGTAGCCAAATCTCTTTTGGGAGGGGTACCAAATTACTTTATTTGAAGGAATGGTACAAATGAAAAGATATAAGTGGATGATTTGGTACAAGTTATAGAAAAGGGAAAAGTAACTCCAACATGCATATACTGCTTTGGTGACCAGAGGAGTCACCCCCCTGGCTGTGGGAAGCTAGCCTAAGGCTTAGCTCTCATCACTGTCTCCCACGGTGTGCTTGTCAAAGAAATAATCTGCCATGCCAGTTTTAGGGGCCCCCAATCTGTGCAAGTTGGTTACATGGTCACCCAGTTCTTCAATGGATTCCACCTGCTTATTCAGGTAGTAAGTCTCAGTGAAGTCACACAAGTAAGAGTCATTTTTGTCAGTGGCTAGTTTGTGCAAATCCAGTAGTGACTCACAGTTTTCCAAGTGTAATGCACACCCCATCGCATTCAGCTCATTCTCCCAATCGTCACAGTCTGGTTTCTTAATATCCTGAAGGAAGATATGGCCACCTCATTGGTTCTGCAGCTTCATCAGTTTCTCAACATGTTCCCTCTCTTCATGAGATTGGTGAAGAAAATATTTGTCAAAGTTCTTCAAAGCCACGTCATCATGGTCAAAGTAGTGAGACATGGAATCCTGCGTAGAGCTCCAGGTCGATCTGGCGGTTGATGGCAGCCTCCAAGTCCTGGTGGTAGTTCTGGCGCACCTGCGAGGTGGATGCGGTGAATGTCATAGTGGGCAGCTAAGGACAGGCGGCTGCTTGGCACTGGATTGGGTGCCTTGGGGATGTGAAGCGCTGTGAGGAGGTGGTGGAAGGCTGGATCGGGGTGGCTAGCTGGGATGGTGGAGCACTGGGTTCCGTCTAAGCACCACTGAAGCAGGAAACCATGGCAACTCTCCACAAAGACTGTGTCAGTAGCCAGCCAAATCCCTTGATCTTATTACCCTGCATTGAAGTAGTGCTTTCCTTGTCACTGAAAACAGACAAGCAAAGACTAGATAACAGCACATGTAGATTGAATTCCTATATAAGATGAGAGGCTAGACTGGGTTTGTTCCAAATTTAAGGTTCTTTGAACCTTTAAAACATAATAACACTATTTCCCATGTTTCATCCAAGATAAGGCTTGAAATTCTGCCAAGACTTTTTTTTTTTTTTTTGCATTTATCTTCAGATAGAACAGGAGGGAAAGAGGGAGGAAGAGAGAGAGAAACATCAATGTGAGAGAGACATGAGTGGTTGCCACCCACACAACCCCAACCAGGGCTGGGGATGAACTGCAACCAAGGTATGTGCCCCTAGTGGGAACCAAACCCGGGCCTCTCTGGTCTGTGGGCCAATGCTCTAACCGCTGAGCCAAACCAGCCAGGGCAAGACTATCCTTTTTTTTTTATCCTCACCCGAGGACATTTTTCCATTTTTTATTCAGATAGAGCGGGAAGGAGAGAGAGGAAGAGAGAGAAACATCGATGTGAAAGGGACACATCGAGTGGCCGCCACCCACATGACCCAACCAGGGCCGGGGACAAACTGCAACCAAGGTACATGCCCTTAGCGGGAACCGAACCCAGGTCTCTCTGGACCACAGGCTGACGCTCTAACCGCTGAGCCAAACCAACCAGGGCTCCTTTTTTTTTAATGTAGCTAAAAACAACTTTACACTGACTGGCCTATTTTCCTCTTGCTTCTTGAGAATTTCATATTTTTCCATCAACTGCACCTTTTATATAATGCAAAAATTTTTTATTTGTATTTAGAAATACAACAAATATAAAATAACCTATCCAGCCCCGGCTGGTGTGGCTCGGTTGGTTGGAGTATCATCCCATATACTGAAAGATCATGGATTCAATTTCTGGTCAGGGTACATACCCAGGTTGTGGGTTTGATCCCGTTGGGGCGCATGCAGGAGGCAACTGACTGATGTTTCACTCTCACATAGATGTTTCTCTCTCCATCTTCTTTTCTTTCTCTCTAAAGAAAAAAATCAATTAAAAAATACATTTTAAATAAAATAACCTATCCAAATAAAGGCAAACTTGAGTTTTCAGAAGTTCAGATAGGTAATAAAAAAGAATCACCAGATGAAGACATCAGTTTTAGTAAAAGCTGAGAAAATATCCTGTTTGGAGAGGTTTCTATTTAGTTCCTCTGCCCATTTTTTTAATTGGGTTCTTTGTCTTCCTTTTGTTGAGTTGTATGAGCACTCTCTATATATTGGAAATTAACCCCTTACCTGATATATCATTGGCAATTATGCTCTCCCATACAGTGGATTGCCTTTCCATTTTGATGATTGTATCTTTTGCTGTGCAGAAGCTGTTTAGTTTGATGTAGTCCCATGTGTTTATTTTCTCCTTTGTTTCTGTTGCCTTAGGTGATGTATCAGTGAAAATTCTGCTGCATATAATGTCTGAAATTTTGTTGCCTACAATTTCTTCTAGGATTTTTATGGATTCATGAGTCACATTTAAGTCTTTTATCCATTCTGAGTTTATTCTTGTGCATGGTGTAAGTTGATGGTCTAGTTTCATTTTTTTGCATGTAGCTGTCCAATTTTCCCAACACTATTTATTAAAGAGGCTGTCTTTACTCCACTGTATGCTCTTGCCACCTTTGTCAAATATTAATTGAGCATATTGCCTTGGGTCCATTTCTGGGTTCTCTGTTCTGTTCCATTGATCTAAATGCCTGTTCTTGTGCCAGTACCAAGCTGTTTTGATTACAGTGGCTTTGTAGTATAACCTGAAATCTGGTAATGTGATCCCTCCAACTTTGTTCTTCTTTTTCAAGATTGCTGTGGCTATTTGAGATCTTTTTCAGTTCCATATGAACTTTTGAAGTATTTGTTCTAGTTCTATGGAAAACAATATGGTGTTACCTCAAAAAATTAAAAATTGAATTGCCATTTGACCCAGTGATCCCACTTCTAGGAATATAGCCTAAGAAGCCTGAAACACCAATCAGAAAGAATATATGTACCCCCATGTTCATAGCAGCACTATTTACAATAGCTAAGATCTGGAAACAGCCCAAATGTCCATCAGTAGACGAATGGATCAAAAAGCTGTGGTACATATACACAATGGAGTACTATGCAGCTGTAAGAAAGAAAGATCTCTTATCCTTTGAGACGACATGGAGGGACCTGGAAAGTATTATCCTAAGCGAAACAAGCCAAACAGAGAAAGACAAGTATCATATGATCTCACTTATTTGTGGAATATAATGAACATAACAGTCCAAGGAATGGGGTAGTCTCAAAGACGTGGAAGTGGGGTACAGGCTGACAATCCCCAGAAGAGGGTGTGGTGGGGGAGAGATAAACCGCAGAACTTATATGCATGTATGCATGAACAATGGACATGGACAGGGTGGGGAGGGAGGGGGAGAGGGGAATCAGTGGGGAAAAAAGGAGAAACATCTGTAACAAAAATTAATTAATTAATTTTTAAAAAAGCTGAGAAAATACGACTAATCAGGTGAAATCCCATGTCAAAAAAGTTGAGAATGGTGCAGTATGAGACCTTATTGCCTCCTTCTCCCCTAGGTCTCTCTTTGAAAATAAGTTGAATCTACTAGATACTGTAGAGGATACTAAATTCATAAACTATACTTTCTAAATTTAACTACCATGTTTAGTATTTCTTCTAGTTTTATTTTTTAAACTGCTTCTTGTAAAAAACACTGACACTACATATTTTAAATACTTTTAGTTCTACTCTTATCAAAGCTAAATGTATTTTAAATAATTTATAAAATTATGATTATTATAAGTTTACTTTGAAATTACCATATTTTTAAAAATATGTTTTTATTGATTTTTTTAGAGAGAGAGGAAGGGAGAGGCAGATAGAAACATTGATGTGAAAGAGATACATCGATACACTGATTGGCTGCCTCCTGCACGCCCCCTACTGGGGATCGAGCCTGAAACCCCAGGCATGTGCCTTGACCAGGAATCAAACTGAGACCTCTCAGTCTGTGGGACAATGCTCAATCCACACCAGCTGTGCTAAAATTACCATATTATAAGCAAATCCATTTTTTCATAATACATCTTTACGACCCTAAACTAATAAATATTGCAAATCTGTACAAAATCTCTCTCTCTATATATATATATATATATATATATCAAGAGAGAGAGAGACTGGTCCACCTCTATGTCTTTCATATACTGGTAAAAATATAATTTGGCAATAAAGTCATAAAATAATCATGGATAAAAAATTTTGCGGGAGGGGGGAATCAGTGGGGGGAAAAAGGAGAATCATCTGTAACAAAAATTAATCAATAAAAAATAATAATAAAATAAAATAAAACAAATGAAAAACAAACAAACAAACAAAAAATTTTGCGATAAGGATATTCACCATAAGATTATTTAAACTAGTTAAAAACTTGAAACATATTTCTTTTTTTAAATATGTTTTTATCGATTTTTTAGAGAGAGAGATTAAAACATTGATGTGAGAGAGAAACATTGATCGGCTGCCTCCTGCATTCCCCACACTGGGGATCGAGCCCAAAATCCCAGGCATGTGCCCTGACCAGGAATCGAACTGGGACCTCTCAGTCCATGGGACCGACACTCAATCCACTGAGCCACACTGACTGGCAGAAACAACTTATATTTCTAACAATAGAAATAGTATAAGGCTTAGATTCTTGACTCAGATAAACCTGGGTTTGACTCCTAGGACTTCCACTTATTATCTGTGTGAGTTGGGACAAGCTATTTAATCCTTCTGAGCCTCATTTTTCTCTTTTGTAAAATGGGAGAAATCAGATTTTTTAAAGGGGGTATGGATGATGGGCAAGTATAGGGCAGAGAGAAGTGGACCTTAGTGGCCAACATTTTCTACATCCTGTAGCTACTGGCAGTGACAGTAACAGGTCCCTTAGGTGGTATGACTCTAGATATATTGTGATGCTTACAGTCATTCCAGTCAGCAAAAATTGGTGAATGGAACTAATAAATGCCAGTTTCAAATTTATATTAAATATTTTCATGTCTTTTCTCAGGGATAAAGATTTACCAGGATCTCTCCCATGCCAATTAGGACACAAAGAAAGAAAGTTGAGTGCTTCACAAATGCAAGGTAATGAGAATCATTCCACAAATGAAAGCATAAACAAAAATCCCTTAATATATATGATCATTTTTTCTCTAAAAGAGATTGGGGGTTTCAAAGGTTTTCTATAGTACTCTGTTATTTAAGAGCAAAAAACAAAAAACCATTTCAATTCAATGTCTAATTTGTGGGAAGGAAGGGGGATTACTTTCAAATAAATATCTTCCAACAATTGTGACAGTACCAGCCAAATATTTTTATTCAAAGAAAAACTTGTGGGTATGGAAAAGAACAAAAGCAAGGTCAAACAGAAATCAATTAATGAAGCAGTTTAAACACAACTAAAGTCCCAGGATTTCTCATTAAAAAATTATAATAATAAAATGAGCTATACTGGCTACAGTTCATTAATCCAAACAATAAAAAATTATTTAAAGCCAACAGTGTACTAGGCATGGAAAGGACAACAAGCCAGACGTGGTCCCTGCCCTGATAGGAAGTCTTACAGGGAAGACAGTTAAACCAGGAATTTGTTGACTGTAACATTTAAATTACAATATGACACAAGTTATTATAGGGGAATTATAGAGTGTTATAGGAGCATAAAAGAAAGTCTCCTAACTTAGTCTTGGGAGGATAGTAGGGGAGTCTCAGAGAAAGCTGACTGATGAGGGATATATCAGTCAAAGAATGCAGAAGGGAGTATTCTTGGCAGAAAGAGTGGAATCTGCAAAGGCCCAGAGAAAAGGGAAAGCGTGACACACTAGAAGAAAAAAAAAGTCAAGCCATTGCCTTGGCCAGGTGGCTCAGTCAGTTGGAGCATCGTCCTGGACACCAAAAAGGTTGTGGGTTCAATTCCCTGTTAGGGCATATACCTAGGTTGCAGGTTTGGTCCCTGGTTGGGGTGCATTTGGGAGGTAACCAATCAATATTTGTTTCTCACATCAATGTGTCCCTCTCTCTCTCTTCCTCACTCTCTAAAGTCAGTTTTTCAAAAGGCAGCATATCCTCCGGTGAGGATTTAAAACAAAAAAAGTCAAGCATGGCTGTATTTGGGTTCTAATAAAGCTAATGCTTCACCACTAACTCCCCAACCCTCCACCAAGTTTGGAACCAAATGAGAAATTGACCCAGGAGACAGAAAGGAAGCAAAGAATCACTTTTATTGCTGGGAAAGCTAGTTTAGAAAACACAAGATTGTCAAGATCAAAATTGCATTTTTTATTGTAAACTGAGGTAAATGCCTTAATAATAATAGTTCATGGCTCTATAAACTTTAAGGTTTCTAAAGTGCATTAATATATATTGGTGCTTGTTTTAAGCACCCACAGCCTTCCCCAGGATTTGCTTTAATTGTGTATTGTAAGACACACAGACACAGAAATGACTATCACGGAGGAAGACTTTTTTATATTCACTGATCCCTGGAAATAAGAGGCACAGAAAATCTTGAAGGGCCACATAGGGAAGCACCAGAGTTGCTCAGGAGGCAAAAGGAGGAGAGAAGTGTGCAAGAGCCTTTACTGTGGTTTCTGAAAGGCAGGATAAGCAGGTTTAGAATTGGCTAGTTCAAATAATTTCAGCAGCTCTGGGGGGTAGGGCTGCCCCTTGTTGTCTGGTACCTGTCCCTGCAGTGATTAGGACAGAGGAATAGTGTCCCAGAGAATAAGAGCCTGGAAAGGTAGGTAGTTGGGGGTATGGACTCTGGACTGGCTGGTTTGTTCATGAAAACCATGCTGACGGGGAAATCTTTTACTATCTCTAGGAAATGGCTAGCTCTGGGAGGGGCAGTTCCTCCAGGATCAGCAAGGCCCCAGATGGTAAAGCATCAAATATGGAAACTAGAAAAAGCACTTGTTACAATGCTTAATCCTCACAATTCTCCTATGAGAGGTTAATTTGTACATCCTACACATACTTATTGAACACCTCCAAATCCCCAGCATCTGCTCCCATCCTCACTCTCAATTGACATCCCTGCTTTCTATTTCTCTATAATCAGGAAATTCCGAAATCAGAAAAGAACTTCCATAGACTCCCACCTTCATTGTCTACCTCCCATCAGCATCTGTACCCACAAATTCTGCCTGCCTCCCTGTTCCACAAATGAACTTCATACTCTAATGTAAAGCCATTCCTTCCATTGTGAATTAGAGCCTATCTCCTCTTTCATATTCAAAGAAATAACTCAAGAAAGTGTCCCACCTGTCCTCAACACCAATTCTTTTCACTATTATATCATTTGTATTATCAGACAAACTTACTGTTATTTCCCTTTATAATATACATATACATATATATATATATGTATGTATGTTGTGACCTCATTTTCTACTCCAGCTCACAGAACTTTTTTGCTCCTCTTTGCAGGAATATTCCTCAAAAGAGATGTTCTTACTCATTGTCTCCAAAACTACTTTTCCCCTTCCTAGATATTTACATGTTCTTGTTTTCTTCCCACCTCACTGGTTACTCCTTCTCCATCTCTTTTGCTAGTTTCTCCTCTTCTGATTCCTCCTAATGCTAGAGTACCCCAGAGCTTAGTACTGGTCCTCTTCTTTATTCCACATGTGGTGCTCTCATCTAGTTTCAGACTTTAAATACCACCTACTATATGCCAACAATTCTGAAATGTGTATGTTCAGCCCAGGGCTCTCTCCAACTCCAGAAACATATCTAACTTCCTACTCAACATTTCTAACTGCATATCTAACAGACACCTCAAAATCAACATGTCAAAAACTAAACTCATGATGTGTTCCTCTTAAAAATATACATAACATGAAAAATGCAATTTTAACCATTGTTAAGTGTGCATATAGGTCAGTGGCATTGACTATATTTACATTGTTCTATAACCATTACCACCATCCACCTCCAGAACTTTTTCATCTTCCCAAACTGAACCTCAATCCCCATTAAACAGTAACTCCCCATGCTCCCCTCCCTTCGACCTCTTACTTCTGAAACCCCTTACTTCTGAAACCACAGACTTCCCTATCTCAGATGACAATATTTCATCCTTCTACTTGTTCTGGAAAAAACCTTGGTGTCATCCTTCACTCTTCTCTCTTATCCTACTTCTAAATCCACTAGGAATTCTCATTGGCTCTACCTTTAAAATATATCTAGAAGTCAGTCACTTTTTACCACCTCCACTGCTACAACTCTGGTTTGAGATACTGTTATTGCTCCCCACAATAGCCTTCAACCTGGGACTAATCTCTCCACTTCTACCTAAACCCTTGCAAAAGTCCATTTTTCTAGCAACAGCCACAGTGATGTTAAAACCTGTCAGGTGGTGGAAGGGGGAGGAGCTGACCAAAGTAACTTTGAAAAGGGCATTTTGACTGAAAACTGTAAAACTGAAGCAAAAGGAATTGTACATAAACAATATATTCTACTTAGTAAAGTTGTTTCTCATGGAGTATCAATGAGCAATTCTGAAATTGTTGTACATGTATATTAGGATTAAGTAAATAAGTAAATGGATGGTGGGTGGTGGGAGCTGTTTGAGTGGGAAGTTACAAATAAACAAGGGTTGGAGAAGACTAAAGTAGACCAGTAATATTGGATTAGGGTCTGAGACATCAGTGTGAACTCATGTTTAGTGTAATACAGATACAGATGAATAGATCAAGAAACAATTAGATGCCCTGGCCGGTTTGGGTCAGTGGTTAGAGAGTTGGCCTGTGGACCAAAGAGGCATGGGTTTGATTCCAGTCAAAGGTACGTACCTCGGTTGAGGTTGGTTCGGGTAATGCGGGAGGCAACCAGTTGATGTGTCTCTCTCACATCAATGTTTCTTTCTCTCTGTGTATATACATGTATGTATATACATGGGTTAGTAAAAGGCTAACTCTAGGTCTTGGGCATGGAATATGCATCTATTTTCCTAGCTCTGTTGGCTAAGAGGACTTAGAAGCACTGATACCCCCATAGCAACAGGGCACCCAAATCTTAAATATGTTTTTATTTTTATTGATTTTTTAGAGAGAGGAAGGCGGGGGGAGAGAGAGAGAAACATCTGCAAGAGAGATATATCAATTGGCTGCCTCCTGCACGCAACCTACTGGGGATCAAGCCGGAAACCCAGGCACGTGCCCTGATTGGGAATTGAACCTGGACCACTCAGTCCATGGGACAATGCTCAATCCACTGAGCAACAACTGCCAGTCATCCAGCACCCAAATCTTGACTTCTAATGTCAGTCTCTTATGAAAGAACCAGAGTTCCTTGGATAAATGGCTAACTCTAGGGCTTGGGCATGGAATATACAAGATGAACCTTGGGCATCTTGTACAGGAAGTGCTCGAAAAACAAAAGGACAGGAGCATGTCAAAGGGTTAAAGAAGCCAACCTAAAATTGCTCACAATTGTCAAAACTGGAACAATTTGAGCAACAAAAATAAATAAAATATTGTCAGATTATAAATCAAAGTATGAAATAAATATCTATAAATCCATAATGCTAGAAATAAATGACTGGATTGAAAAAATGAAAATAGTAAATCTCTCTTACAAAAGAATTCCAAATAATATATGTAGATATTACCTCCTCCAGGAGATGGAGCTTAATTCTTCCTGCCTTGAGCTCTCTGCCCCTGAGTCTGAGCTACTCTTAGTGACTTGTTTCCAAAGAATAGAATGTGGAAAAGGCGAGAAATAACTTTACAATGGAGAAACCTGACAAACACTACCTTGGCCAGGTAATCAGGGTTAACATCATCAGTGATAAGTCATGTGATAGTATGTAACCTTAACATAATGATGAAAATGGTACTTTACTTCTGTGATCTTCCTTTCAAAAGTCCATAATTCTGTGATCTTCCTTCCAAAAGTCCACAATCTTCCTTCCAAAAGTCCAAAAACATCAAAGAAACCCAAATTGAAGGACTTCTGTAGAATACCTGAACAATACTCCTCAAAACTGTCAAGGTAATCAAAAACAAGGGAAGTCTGCCCGGCTTGTGTGGCTCAGTGGTTGAGCATCAACCCATGCACCAAGAGGTCACAGGTTCAATTCCCGGTCAAGGCACATGCCCAGGCTGTGGGCCAAATCCCCAGTGGGGGGCCTGCAGGAGGCATCCAATTGATGTTCTCTCATCAATGTTTCTATCTCTCTCTTCCACTCTAAAATCAATAAAGGAAAAACAAACAAACAAACAAAAACAAGGGAAGTCTGATAAAGTGTTATAGAAGAGCTAAAAAGACATGATGACTAAATGTAATAAGGTATCCTGGGTGGGATCCTGGCACCAAAAAAAAGGAGGCATTAGGGGAAAACCAGTGAAATCTGAATGATGTCTGCAGTTCAGTTATAGTGCTACACCAATGTTGGCTTCTTAGATGTAACAGATGAACCATAGAAATGTAAGATGTTAGCATTAGGGGAAACTGGGAGAGGAATCTACAAAAACACTCTGTGTGTCTCTGCAACTATATCTAAAACCAATATGATGTAAAATTTAAAGTAAATTTTAAAACATAACCATGCCTACATACACATGACTTCTTTGCCCTCTCCTGCTCTTCCTCTCCTCTTACTTACTCTGCTCCAGCCACACCCTTGCTGTTCCCAGAGCATGGCAGGTCTATCTCCCTTAGGGCCTTTGCTCTAGCTCTTTCCTCTCTTCTCCCAGATATCCATTCCATCACCTCCTTTAAGTCTTTGCTTAACTCTCACCTATTTAATACAAGCAACCTATCCCTCAATCCCTGGAATTCCTAGTCTCCCGATCCTGTATTACTTTTTCATTTTTCTATAGCACTTACCACCTTCTAACATGTTATGTAATTTATGTATCTGTTACATTTATAAAAGAGCAGAGATCTTTTTCTGTTTAGTGCATTAATGTATCCTAGGCACCTAGAGCAGCACCTGGCACATAGAAGGCATGCAATAAATATTTGTTGATTAAGCTGCATTAATGCCTGAAATGCCTACCAACATGCTCAAAATAATGAGAAAAAATAGAAACAAGTCAGAGATCATTCCAGCCCTAGAGAAGCTTTCCTTTTTTCAAGGGAGAAAGATGTTAATTTTAGACACAATTATAACACAGGCATCATTATCTCTATAGGATTAATCACTCTTGTACAGGGAGATGCTAACACTTGAATGGACTATGAAATAAGTTTTATTTTGGTGTCATTTGGGATATACTTTGTTCTGAGTTTATTTCTTCATTTGCTAATTTTAGAAAATGCATTCTAATTTTGGCTCCAGTTAGTTAATGCCTTGAATATTTCTTTGAAAAAACTTTAAGTCTGTACAATACATACAGACCTCAAAGTTCTCTAAGTTTGAAGTCAGGTGGGCTGCCTGGTTCCTCTTCTCTAGGCCTTAAGGCTCAAGTGAGGGTGTTGGCCAGTTTGGCCTCTTATGTAGAGGCTCTGGAGGAAAATCTGCTTCTGAGCTCATTCAGGTTTTTGGCAGAATTCTGTTCCTATGGTTGTAGGGCTGAGTTCCCCATTTCCTAGCTGAGTGTCAGCTAGGAGCCTTTCTCAAACCCATAAGTCTGTCTGCATTCCACATCACATTACCCTCTCTATCTTCAAACCAGCAATAGTGGGTTCAGTGCTTACTCAGATAATCCAGGATAATCTATTTTAATTGCATCTGCAAAATTCCTTTTGTCATGTAAAGTATTATGTTCACAGTTTCCAATAATTAGGGTGTGGACATCTTTCAAAGGTCATTTCACCTAGATATTTGGTTTTCCACCAGTTAGTTGATTCCAGTTTAGCTCTCATGGAAGGACACTGTCCTTCTTAAGAAATGTCTATTAAGTACTCATATTTTTCTCAGTATATATCAGAACATGATCTCCAATCAACTGTATTGCCTGTCCTCGTTCCATTAGAATGTGTATTTATTCTTGAATAACTGTCCTGACTAACTTAATTCCACTTCCCCAGCCTTCCAAGATGCCTACAACTTCTTTAACAAGGATAAAACTGGCTCTATTGATTTACATGGAATGATGTGCACTTTAACTAAATTGGGAATGAATCTAACCAAGCATAATGTCTATAATGAATTAAAATGTGCTGATATTGATCGTGAGTACTTTGACTTATCATTATTTTTCTCATAAAATCTCTTTGTGAATATATATTTTTCTCTCAGGGACTGTATGAACATGAGAAATAAACCTCACTTATTTGCCAAAAGAACATATGTATGTGTTTCTCTTTAAGGATTCAGTGAGGTATGTGTGCAAGTTATAAAATCAATTTAATTCTTCTTTGAAAAATCCTGTGTGGAAACTAAAAATTGTTGTCATATTTCAATATCGAATTCAGATTGCCTGTCATGATGTACATTTTGGAGAATGCCTTAAAATAACAGATACAAACTTCAAAATACCATGTTGCCAAGGAAATACAAGCCTATTGTTTCTGTATGAATCATATTAGTGCAAGTCCTCCTTCCATCATTACAACCCACCTATACTGAATTTCAAGTGCCACAGCATATTTGTTGATAATTTTATAGCATATAGATAATGTTTTCTTTGAATATACTGACCTAGAGATTAGTAACCCAAATTGTTATGTTGTTTGGAAAATATATTCAGTATATTGTTTCTTCTCACCTCTCCCCACCCAGCTGCCAGTGCCCTATTCAATTTGCATCAGTGCCACGTGTGAGTCAATGTCACCAGTTAAAGCTTCACTTGTTTCCACTAACTGCCCAATTTTTCTGTTCTTTTATTGAAACACACACACACACACACACACACACACACACACACACACCTCTAGTAGCACTTAATTTTAGAGGAAATGAGGTACAACTTTGGGATGCTGTAATAATAGAAATATTAGAGGTATGGAGTGGAAAGCAGGGGCGGATTCCTTGCAAAAATGGCAAGTCTCTAGGAAAGGAGTAAATGGATAGGACTGTAGTGGCTAGGAGCCCCTGGTTTGATGTTTACACCCCACCATTGCTTCTGTGGGCTGTAGGTAACTGGTATAATAGTGCTAAGACCACTTAAAGTACTTACCTGAGCATATTTCCAACCCTAAAATGCTCTGATTTTAAGTATTAGATGGTCCATGATGTCTTAATTTTTATATTTAATATATAATTTGATAATTAAAATACATCTTATATCCTTGTTTTGAGACTTAGATTTCTGTTGCAGGAGATGGGAAAGTGAATTTCTCAGACTTTATAAAGGTGCTAACAGATAAGGACCTCTTCCTTAAGGCTGTGGGTAAGTAGAGACATTACTGAATAGATAGCAGTTGAGTAGTTGCAATTCACTCCATAGTAAATATTATTCATTTCAGGCTCCAGTCAGGAGGCATATCAAGAATGTGCACTCTGGAATGTGATTTACTTTGGTACTGCTTCTCCAAAACAGTATTTGCTAAGCAAATTGATACAGTTTTAGAATTTTAACTTAAATGCATCAAGTCCTTCTGCAGGCAATACTTTTTTATTTCTAATGAGAGCACTCAGTTAGTGGTGTAGAAAAATTTGGTTACCTTTTATAGTATTTTAACTCTTTACCAAGTGCATATGCTACTTTGGGAAGCACACCTTTTACAAAAGAAAAAAAAATTTAGAAAAAGAAAAATGTTCTCTTATGCAAATTTGAGTGTAGATAATTTACTGTTCCCAAAAAGTATCTTCCTCACTCTGATGAAACCTCTGCCCTCAGTGGAAGGGCTAGAGAATGTGCTGGAAGTTAGAGAGCATGTTCTCACATAAGGTTATAAATGATGTGAAAGTAAACTTGAAATATTTTTATTAGTCCTCTAATGGTTTGCTTATGAGTTTAACAGGCACCTTGGAAAATCTAATTCTCTTCATATCATGCTTTCTAGGATAAATATATTCCAAATTCCAAATACTGTATATTGTTTTGAGAATATACCCATTCATAGGCTATGAATTGTCCTTAGGACAAACAGAAGTTACTGCTTCAAGTACCAATATAGTAACAAGGATTTTTCTACAAACCAGAGATATATTTACCAACAACCCCTTCACCCACAACAGGACAATTATCCTTAACATATAATTCATGTTTATGTTAAATGTATTACTATATTTACTTAGAAGCCATTGAACTAAGAGTATTTTTTTCAATTCCGTGATGATATTGTCTGTTCTGTAATAAAAATGACCTTTCTACCTTTCTATAATAGAACAGATGTTGAATGTTTTTCTATAATTCTCAAGTCCTTGATGTGGTGTTAATTTTGTAAATACAATGAAAAGACTGCATTTTAGTACTTTTGTTGATAAATGATTTTTTCAGAAGGCATTTTTAATCTTTTTTTTTTCCTTTATAGTTCCAGAAAAAGAGAAGTGTTTAGATTTTGCTGGCAACCCAGGGATCCTGTTGTTTGAAATTCTGTCAAAGCTTGTAGAGACTTCAGCCTTACCCAAAAAGGCTATAATGGAATTAGTAAGGTAAGTGACAAAGGGGCAAAAACAACCTTCTCAGAAGCACTTATGAGGATGTTCACAAGGCAGTCACCTCTCACTAACATTCTACTTCACAGGGTCTGCTCTAAAACAAAGGAGATGTGTGGGCAGATGGCCACGTACCACTACATGAAACTTCATTCTTTCATCACTCCAGAACTGCCAAGCTCTGAAATTGCAAGGCTGACCTCAGTCCATCTCAGGTCCCCATTGAGGGCTTATGATAGCTAAGAAATTTCAGCCTTTCCTACCCTAGTCTAGGGAATCCCAGAGAAATAAGACTTTTCTAAGGATGATTTTGGGTGGGCTTGGAAGTCTAGTTTGAATATAAGACACTCCCATTCACAATGGAACTACCAGGGGCTTTCAAGAGGTCCTATGACTCTGAGATAAGGCACAGAAGGTTCAGACCTCCCAAAGTGGCCTTTGGACCGGAGCAGAGCCAGAAGTAGAACGAATAGAGAATGAGGAAACGTTCTCACACCCTAATTAGTTCTTTCCAGCAAATATCACTAAAGAGAAACTTCCTCAGTCTATTTTTATCATTGTAGTACTAAAATTAAATGTTGCCATTATCAGTCTTTTCAACTCATACTCTTTCAAAGCATTCTTCCCACTTAGAGAGACTTAAAAATACAGAATACCACCAACAATATAAAAAAATCCTCTGCTCCTCAATAGGTGATCTCTTTATACTATCCTACATCTCCATCAGATGTGGAACAGAGGGTATATTCTACTCTTCATTTCAATTCAGATATATTTATTATTAAATTAATAATTTATTAAATTATTATTTGGTACACAAATTTGGCACATTGCCTAACTTCTCAACCTCAGTTTCCTCATCTATAAAATGGTGATGATGCCCTGGCCAGTTTGGCTCAGCGGTTAGAGCGTCGGCCTGCGGTCCGGAGAGACCCGGGTTCGGTTCCCGCTAAGGGCACGTACTTCGGTTGCAGTTTGTCCCCGGCCCTGGTTGGTCGTGCGGGTGGCAGCCACTCGATGTGTCCCTTCACGTCGATGTTTCTCTCTCTCTCTCCCTCCCACTCTATCTGTACAAAAAATAAAAATAAAAAAAATTAAAATAAAAAAAATAAAATGGTGATGATAATAATACCTTATAGCGTAGTTGTGGGGATGATGTAATAATGCAGGTGAAGTGCTTAGCACATCATAATAAATGTTAGCTATTGTAATTATATAGAAGTAACCAGAATAAGCATAAAAATATATATTAACTATTTTAATCCTTACCTCTTTAATGGGTATATACTGTTATTCCCACTTTACAGATTAAACAAACAAACAAACTGAAGCACAGTTTGGCTAAGTAGCTTGCCCAAGAGGCAGTGGTGTCTAGATTTTAGCAAACAGTCTGATTCCAGAATCTATGATTTTATCCACCTCCCTGTACTGCCTCTGATACCCAGTATGTACTCAGGAAATGTTAGCTTATATTGGTGGTTTTATTGTTATTATGGATGCAGTTGTTAATTATCATACATCTGATTCCTAAGGAGATCAAAAGTATTTAATACATAGCATTTGCATTGAAGGAGCTTAAAATAGAAATGGAGAGCCCTGGCCATTTAGAGCATCGTCCCATGGACCAGAGAGACCCGGGTTCGGTTCCCGCTAAGGGCACGTACCTTGGTAGCTGTTTGAACCCGGCCCCAGTTGGGGTTGTGTGGGTGACAACCAGTTGATGTGTCTTTCTCACATCGATGTTTCTCTCTCTCTCTCTTCCTCCTGCTGTATCTGAAGATGGTTGCAAAAAATGTTCTTGGGTGAGGATAAAAAAAGAAAAAATAGAAATGGAGAGAAAATCCATAAATATGCAAATAACTAAATAAATATGCAGAGGTGAAATAATACAAAATATTACATAATTGATTGTTAAATTAGTTAACTCTCTCAAGAGGTTGTACCAGAAAGATTGTTTGGACTAAGGGATATCAGACATAACTGAGGATAGGAAGGTATCATAGTAAAAACAAGATTATGTAAAAGTCCACTTATTGAATGATGAGGCCCCCACCAGCCACCTTCCCCTTCCCTAGGTTCCAACATATTGACAGCTAGACTTAATACCACTCAGATAAACTATTAGAGGATTCTGTGCTAGGGAAATCAACTAGCCCAAGAGAAAAAATTAACAGATACAATCAAAAGGTCCCCTCCTGGCCTGTGTGGCTCAGTGGATTGAGCATCGCCCGATGGACTGAGAGGTCCTGGTTCAATTCCTGGTCAGGGCATAGTTTGGGTTTCGGGCTTGATCCCCAGTGAGGGGCGTGCAGAAGGCAGCCAATCAATGTTTCTCTCTCTCAGCAATGTTTCTATCACTTTCTCCATTCCTCTCTCTCTAAAAAATCATTCAAAACATATTTTTTAATAAAGGTCCTCTAATAAAACAAGTCTCCAACAAATTACCTGACAGTGACGTTTCCACTTAATAAGGCCAACCACACCGAAGAGCTTCCAGTTAGCTTTAAAGAGTGCTTACTCTCACTCTTAAATATGAATAATCATCCAAGGATCAAGAAATATTTAAGAAAAACCTGTGCTATTAAAGAAAGATGAAAACAGGATGAAAAGAGGGAAAAGAGCAAGAGAGAGGGAAGGAAACCAGTAGTTATAAATATAACCTGATATATAATCATCAGGCAAAGAGTAGAGTTTCAGGGAAGGGGTAGAATATAGAGCAGCAGTTCTCAAATTTGAGCATGCATCAGGATAACCTTGAGTGATGATTGAAACACATTGCTGGGGCCCAGGGTTTCTGATTTAGTAGATTTGTGGGAGGACCAGGAATTTGTATTTCTAACAAGTTTCCTGTGCTGCTGACTTGAGGACCACACCTGGAGCCATAGAGTATGCAGAGAATATTGGAGGGAAAGGAAAGGTGGGCCTTGAGGACTTGGTAGGACCTGGTAGGAATTAAATTGCACTAAGAGAAACAAGCATTATACTACTTTCAGAGGTGAGTGAGAACATTATGGATAGATGGCTTGGTTCAAGGTTAGGGAAGGACATATCTGATTATAAACCAGATTCCAATCAGAACAGTATCAGCACATCTCCTACCCAATCACTGCTGTAGCTCCTACACTTAGAATTAGTTCTTTCCCTCCTCCTGAGAGGAAAAGAAAGGTTATCTGTCACCATCCCATAGAGAAGTGAAGCCTTTTATTGCTATACTAGAAAGAAACCAGCCTGCACAATAATGGGAAGCAAGGTCCTGCATTTGGTTATTTGGAACAGCAAGAAGTGATGCTCCTCTGCTCAGCACACTGAGAAGTGAGATCTTCTGCATTTGTACTGAAGCCCCACTACACCAAAGCAGCGAGAAACAAGTCCTTCCACCTTAGCAGGGAGCAACCAGATCCTCACCACAGCTGCAAGGACAAGTCCACAGCAACAAGAAGGAATCTGATCTGTCATTGATATACAAGGGATGCACGTTTGTAAATTAGATGTTTCTACACTTGGAGATGTTTGTACTGTGAATTAGAGTCCTTTATCATATATAGCCTTCTCTGCTTATTCTTAAAGAGTTTGTAGCCTAAAATGCATAGTAGCCTATCTCCTAGATCTATTCAACCCATTGCACGGGGTGGGGGGAGCAAAGAATTGCAATCGATAGCAATTTACTGTGGATAGTAAGATTACTGGTAATGTTTTCTTCTTTTTTTTAAGAAAAAGGTGGTTTATTTTTATTTCTTTATTTTTTGCATTCATCCTCAGATAGAGCGAGAGGGAGAGAGGGAGGAAGAGAGAGAGAGAAACATCGATGTGAGAGAGACACATCAACCTGCTGCCACATCACAACTCCAACCGGGGTGGGGACAAACCGCAATCAAGTTATGTGCTCTCAGCGGGAACTGAACCCAGGTCTCTCTGGACAGCATGCTGACGCTCTAACCACTTAGCAAAACAGACCAGGGCTGTTTTTGTCTTTATACTTTTCTATATTTTCCAAACTCTGCAATGAGAATTTCTTTTAATTTAAAAAATACTGCAGTTTAGCCCTGGCCAGTTTGGCTCAGCAGTTAAAGCTTCGGCCGGCGGACCAAGGAGTAGCGGGTTCAATTCCAGCCAAGGACATGTAGCTTGGTTGTGGTTCAGTCCCTGGCCCTGGTCAGAGTCCTGCGGGAGGCAACCAATAGATGTCTCTCTCTCATGTTAATGTCTCTCTCTCTCTCTCTCTCTCTCTCTCTCTCTCTCTCTCTCTCTCACCCTCACTCTCTTTCCTTCCCTCCCTCCCTTTCTCCCACTCTGTCTGAAGATAAATGGAAAAATATCCTCGGGTGAGGATTTTAAAAAAAGTTAAAATAAATTGCCTGGCCTGTGTGGCTCAGTGGTTGAGCGTCAACCTATGCACCAAGAGGACTCTGGTTTGATTCCCGGTCAGGGCACATGCCCAGGTTGTGGGCCAAATCCCCAGTGGGCATGCAGGAGGTGGCCAGTCAATGTTCTCTCTCATCCATGTTTCTTTTTTTTTTTTTTTTATCCTCACCCAAGGACATTTTTTTTGTTCAGGTAGAGTGGGAGGGAGAGAGAGGAACAGATATATAGAGAGAAACATCGATGTGAAAGGAACACATCGAGTGGCTGCCACCCGCACAACCGACCAGGGCCGGGGACAAACTGCAACCGAGGTACGCGCCCTTAGCGGGAACCGAACCCTGGTCTCTCAGGACCGCAGGCCGACGCTCTAACCGCTGAGCCAAACCGGCCAGGGCTCATCCATGTTTCTATCTCTCTCTTCCTCTCCCTTCCTCTCTCTCTCTAAAAATCAATAAAGAAAAAAAATTAAAATAACTAAATTTTTAAAATTGCATTTTATTTGAGATCTTGCTCCCCGACATATGTTGTCAGTTGGCTCAAATAAACTCTTATATTCTCCAAAAAAGTTGCATTTTCAAATCCAACACAAAGTAATATAATAGTAGGCATGATTAATGTTTGTTTTCAAGCTGGTACCAATTAAGAGTTTTCCAAGGATCATACTTAATAGGTATTTTTTTAGATAAGACTGGAGGTCTTTTTTATTTTTTTAATGTATTGATTTTTTTAGAGAGAGAAGAGAGAGAGAAACATTGATTGTTGTTCCACCTATTTATGCATTCATTGGTTGCTTCTTGTATGTGCCCGGACTGGAGATTGAACCCACAGCCTTGGTGTATTGGGGCAATGCTCTAACCAATTGAGCTACCCATCTAGGGTAGACTGGGAGGTCTTAGAGAAGAGGAAGGAAGCCAAAGCCTAGGGCCTACATATATAAAATAGTCAAATGACCTGTGGCAGTTATCAGTGCATATTCTATAAATGTTACAGAAACAGGCACTAAATAAATAATAGTGAATGAATATACAAATTACATTTTAAATAAATTTATTCAGCATACATAACTTGCAACTTGACTTTTTTTCTATTTGTCTAATACGCAGGTACCTTTTCAGTAGAACCATAGCATTTTTATCCATTTCTGGATTACTTTATTTATTCATTTATTTATTTAGCTATTTTCAAAGAAAATTCCAAGAAACCACTTCAGGAATATTGTGGAGTTCTTACGCTGTGGATTATGGGAAAAGGAGATTTAAACCAGACATATGCACACCTCTGAGCTCAAGCATGTCTGCCTTTGCTAATGCTACCCGGATTGCAATAATGAAACAGAAGGATTTATTTAAATATCTTGAGGAGTTCAAGAGTAAGAGCCATTTGTCTTTTTCCCACTGTTGTAGAAGATTTGTTTGTATCTTACTGGTCAGAAGTAAATACTAGAGGCCAAGTGCTGTAAGAGCAGGGCCACAACCTATTTTGAGTGACTGGTCTCTGTTACCCAGATATCACTTGAAAGCAAATATATATATATATATATTACCTGAATTCTCAGACACCTGGATGAAGCTGAGAGTCTGTGGAGGAGTGGGGAGTGGGGGGCACAGGAGAGTGAAGAAGTTGGGTCATGGCACAGAGAATAGACAAAGCAAAATGGATGCCACTTGTATGTCTTTCATATGAATTTCTTCTATATTATTTGTGATAACATTTTTTATCTTTTTAGAATGCAATCCTCCTTCAGATAACCCATATTCAAAAATACCCATCTTTCCATTGTTTCCTAATGTGGATGGGGTGGTAATGGGAAAGCCATTCAAAGACATACAGAAATTAGAAATGCTAAGGAGAAAGGAGCCTCTGGATTTCTTTGAGAACTACTTTTTCAATAAAAGAGACTGGAAAACACAGGTGAGACGTATATTATGTCACATCAGTTAATTTAAATACTTAGGTTTTTCTATCTTAACAGAACTAGTAACATGCTTTTTAATGACAAATATTTTTAGTCATTATATTTCAAACCAGATTCTGTAGACATAGTCCTAAATTTAAGCTCAGGTATAAATATTTCATTTAATTTCAACAAGTAGTTAAACTACTAAAAAATACAATCCTAGGCTTGGGGTGCAGGGTGGGGGAATATATGAATAATAATTAAAAGGCCCTCAGATCCTACTTCCAACTTCTCTCTCATCAACTCGGGGACAAGAAGCTGCATTTTGGTCTCCCTCAACTGGTTCTATATCACGTTTGGGCCAGATACAACTCAATGGAGCAATGTTGTAATGTAGGGGCCATCCTGCCCTTGGGCTAGAACCCCATTTATAGTCCCAGCTGAACCTTGTGGTCCTGCTTCAAAATCTGTTGCCTATAATCTATTTTCCCTCCTCTCAAGGTATACTTTATCATCATGAGTTTTAAGGTCTCAGGCAAGTATGCCCTGGTTTCTGTATATTCTTTTGAGAAGCTCGGGCCTCACTCCTGGTTTGTCACAGGCCTCCCAGCCTGAGAAGATCAAGATTTGACTGCAGACCAGCCCACCCTGTGGAGCATCTCTGGATGCCAGAGATCCATGTGTTGTTCACATCACTACAAAATCCCCAAAAGGTCCCTCCGGGCCTAGGTTTAAGAGTTCCAGAAGTGCCCTAGCCAGTTTGGTTCTGCGGTTAGAGTGTCAGCTCGTGGACCAAAGGGTCATGGGTTCAATTCCCACTCAAGGGCACGTACCTGGGTTACAGGTTCAATCCCCAGCTCTAGTCAGGGTCATGCAGGAGGCAACCAACTGATGTGTCTCTTTCACATAGCTGTTTCTCTTCCTTCCTCTCTCCCTTCCTTCCATTCTATCTAAAAATAAATGGAAAAATAGACTTGGGTGAGGATTAGCCAAAAAAAAGAAAGAAAGAAAACGAGTCCCAGAAGCTGGAGGAGGGAGAAAAAATAGGGAGTTGCTAATCAAAGGGCATAAAAGTCAAAATTATGCAAGATGAGTAAGTTCTAGAGATCTGCTCTATAACATTGTACATATAGTTAATGCTGTATTGTACACTAGACATTGTGTTGAGGAGCCCATGTGAAGAGTTCTTACCACAATAAAATAAAATAGTTTTTTAAAAGAGTCCCATGATGGCCTGGCCAGTGTGGTTCAGTGGTTGTGTCGACCCATGCACCAAGAGGTTGCTGGTTTGATTCCCAGTCAGGGCACATGCCTAGGTTGTGGGCCAAATCCCCATTAGGGTGCATGCAGGAGGCGGCCAGTCAGTGTTCTCTCTCATTGATGTTTCTATCTGTCTCTCTCTCTAAAAAAAATTAAAAACAAAAACTGGCATTAAAAAAAAAAGTCCCATGATGACCATAAATGACCTAAAGTTAAGACTGTCTTTATTCTCCCAAATGAAGTCACACCCACAGGCAAATATCACTGGCAAGATGGAAATAGAGGACATTTATTCCCCTTTAAACTTGTTTCTCAACATTGAACCCTCCACCTGTGATGCCTGTTTATTTATTTTCAGTCTCTCCAATTAGAATACAAGAATTCTGATTTCAAAATAATTTTCAGATAGATGTTTTTATGGAAGACACACCTAAAATATGGCACAGAAGGCTAAAAGTAAAGGGACAGCAAAAACATCTGAGTAAAATGCAAATCAAAATAAGCTAGCATCAGTCAAGTAATATGTGGAAAGTAAAATTTAAGGAAAACATAGTTAAAAATAAGCAAGTTACTTAAAGATTTTTAAAAGCATCAGAAAGATATTACTATCTCAAACCTGTGTGTACCTAGCAAATTAACAGATAAGATGGTAATTAACAGAATTATAAGTATTTAGACTTTTTAAGACATTATGCATGCCTTCAAATTTCTCACTTTTATACAATGTAAGAATAATTGCTAAACAAATAGGCAAATCCATTATTATAATGGGAGATATTTTTAAATTGATCTTTGAGAGAAGGAGGTGGGGAGAGAGAGAGGGAAAAACATCAGTGTGAGAGAGAAACATCAATCAATTGCCTCCTGCACATGCCCTGACCAGGCATTGAACCCACAACCTAGGTATGTGCCCTGACCAGGAATCAGACCCACAACCTTTCCATGTATGGGACGACATTCCAACCAACTGAGTCATACCGGCCAGGGTATAGTGGGAGGTTTTTATCATGCATTTCCAGAAACTAATAAAGCAGATATCCCTACCCCACCCCCAATAAAAAAGGGAAATCAACTCCTGTTACAAAAATTTAACTGTTAAGGAAGAGAGATGCAGAATTATAGCTTGACGTAGAATCAGAGTCTAGAAAAAAACGTTTCAGGACATGGAAGACGAGCACATTTGTAACCAGGAGAAAGGATCCCCTTAGAACTGTGGTTCTCAACTTGGCTTTACCATGGGAGCACTTTAAAAAACAACCTCAGCCCTGGCCGGTTTGGCTCAGTGGTTAGAGCGTCGGCCTGCGGTCCGGAGAGACCCGGGTTCGGTTCCCGCTAAGGGCATGTACCTCGGTTGCAGTTTGTCCCTGGCCCTGGTTGGTCGTGCGGGTGGCAGCCACTCGATGTTTCCCTTTCACATCGATGTTTCTCTCTCTCTCTCCCTCCTGCTCTATCTGAACAAAGAATGAAAAAGTGTCCTCAGGTGAGAATAAAAAATAAAAAAAACAACCTCAGCCCTGGCTGGTTTGGCTCAGTGGTTAGAGCGCCAGCCTGTGGTCCAGAGTGACCTGGGTTCAGTTTCCGCTAAGGGTATGTACCTCGGTTGCAGTTTGTCCCCGGCCCTGGTTGGGTCATGCGAGTGGCAGCCACTCGATGTGCACCTTTCACGTTGATGTTTCTCTCTCTCTCTCTCTCTCTCTCTCTCTCTCTCTCTCTCTCTCCCTCTCTCTCTCTCTCTTCCTCTCTCTCCCTCCCACTCTATCTGAACCAAAAAAAAAAACAAAAACAAAAAATGTCCTTGGGTGAGGATAAAAAATAAAATAAAATAAAAAACAACCTCATACCCAGGCCACAACCCTGTCTAATAAAATCAGATTTCTGGAAAAGGGACTCCAGCCTCAATATTTTTTAAAGTTCTAACATGCAGCCAATGCTGAAAACCACTTCTCAATGAAAAGAGAAACTGAGCCCTGGCTGGTTTGGCTCAGTGGTAGAGCGTCGGCCCATGGACCAAAGAGTCATAGGTTTGATTCCAGTCAAGGGCACGTGCTTCAGTTGTGGACTGGACTCCCGCCCTGGTCAGGGTCATGCGGAGGCAACCAGTCGATGTGTCTCTCTCACATCAATGTTTCTCTCTCTCTGTCTCCCACTCTGTCTGAAGATAAAATGGAAAAAAGTATCCTCAGATGAGGATTTAAAAAATAAATAAATAAAAGAGAAACTGAGTAGAAGAGGGGCAGGGCTGTGTATGTAATTTGCAAGTCCTAGTGCAAAAAGAAAATGTAGGCCCCTTGTCCAAAAACAATTAAGAATATAAAGACAGCAACAGCGGAAAATTAAACTGAATTCAGAGCCCTTCTAAGTTTGAGGTCCTGTGTAATAGCATAGGTCACATACCCATAAAGTTGGACCTGCAAAGAGGGCAATTGAATGGATATGATCCAGAAGGCAAATACAGATATAGGGGAAGACTGGCCTTGGAAATTAGGAAAAACTCATATATAAGAGGGAAGGAGGAAAAAACAGGTTCAAGGATGGAGAAATCCTAAGGTAGAAAGTAGAGTAAAAGGAATTAATATTAGTAGCTTTGAAGAGACAAGCTGAGGGAGTTTGAAGGTCTGGTTTTCCAATTATTACTGTGAAGATTGTAAGAGAGTTTTAACAGTGAATGAAGAAGAGTAATGTCAAACAGTACTGAGGGTCTAGATAAAATTAGGTAATATACATTTTCAAAGAAAGCAATCAGCATATTCACAGGATTTCTACTGCATTGTTCAGCATCCCAGGAACAGGGGAAAACAGATGGCTGGTTCCCATGAGAAGTCTGGAAGTAATATAGGTTATATTCTGTGGAGGGCACATTCATTTTCAGTGCTTCATGATGGCTTGGAAAGTTTGGGTGAGGATGGATTTGGCTCCTGTCTACCCTCCATATCCATTCCACACATAAATCATCTTCTGGTCAATACTTCTCTTACACATAGGCTTTATCATATGAAAGATAATTTGCTAAATATCCATCTACATGTGAGACAATATCAGGTACCCCGAAATACCCGACAAGTACCTTAGCAATAACCTTATAAATCATACATAAACCCTTTCATAATACAATATACTTCTGTTTATTATGTCTTTGTTGTATAATTCAAACTAAAATACATCACTAACCTTCTTTTTAAAATGTGCATCAAGGCAGCAAATATAAAGCCTATCGGCCCTACCTCAGGCTACCCAACTGACATCCTCGCCATTGACCACATACTCAAGAAAAAGCAGAATTGGACAGTGACTGGTGCAGCTGCTATTAAACCACATGTGAGTACTCACTGTTGACTGCCTTCCCAGAAAGCATTGACAAAAATATTTTTCACCTCAATACTAAAACCATAAAACCAAGAGGTTTTTTCCTTCTCTATGTCTTTAAAATAAGAGAAGATCATTTCTCATTTTCACTTATTATAATGATGTTTCTTGCTCTATAATCAAATGGATTCAAATGTTAACTGTTATAATTCATGCTGCTAATCACCTATGGAGCCATACCTAGCATCATTTCTGGGACACTAATTTGTTTCATCCTGAAAATAGCAACTAGTTAAGATACTAAGCTGACAGTCACAGTGAGTGGTACGCTCAGGGAATCATGATGAGTTAAAGCGTCTTTATTATAGCAGCTAAAAGAATAATAATAATTGTTTGAGTTTCCTAGGTGCCAGGCACTATGTTCTTCAAGTACTCTAGTTCACATGTACTAATTAATATAATTATCACAATGACCCTTTGAGGTAGGCACTGCTATCATTCCTTACCATTTTACAGATGTGCACAGAGAGGTTAAGTGACTTATCCAAAGGCACACAGCTGGGCAATAATAGAGCCAGAATTATAAGCACAGGCAGCTTGGCTTTAGAATCCACACTTTTAACCACAACTCTGTGCTGCCTATCTACTTTTGTGTCCTGACTTCTTAGCTACTTTTATACTCCACAAAGACAGACTAAGGTGTATTTATTTTATGCCACTTTCCTTCTGTACGTGACACTAACAATGAAGCTCTCCTTGACACTTTCTACTTCCTTGGCCTTCACAGTACTGCATCTTCAATTCTCCTTGTAGCTCTGTGTCCTTTCTTCTCTCTTCTCTTTCCTGAATGTTCATCCCTTAAGTTGATATTTCTTTGTTTTCTAGTCTCATCCTGCTGCTCTTCTCATTATATACACTCATCCACTCATTTGTTCAGTAAATATTTATTCAGTGTTAACAAAGTTCTGGGATTAGGAGATATCACAGAGAAAAAAATCACAGTTCCAGCTTAGAGTAAGAGTGGAAGACATGGAGAAGGAAATGAGCAGTAGTAATACATTGTGATAAATAGAATTATAGGTAGTCTGTGCTGCATGCCACAAGAATGCAAAGGGGAGAGCTCCCATTCTCTGTCTCCTCATGGCACATATCACACTGGATTAAATGAAGGCTACTGATATAGCCTGAGGCCCCCAGCCTGGCACACCAGCTGCCTCAAGGGCTGAGACGCTTGGGAAGATCAATAATTTGGCACAACTGTAACCCAGTCACAGCAGAACATTGGGGATCTCTGTGTTAAGTGAAGGAAAAGCTAGGGTTAGTATTCTTTGGGCTACCCACCTATATAGTGATAACTCATAAATCCATCACTAGCTTAGACTTCTTTCTGGTACTTTTGTCTTACCTCACTGCCTGACAATTCTACCTTGCTGTCTCATAGCACATCAAACTCAACATGTCCAAAACCAAACTCATCATCTGCATCAAATTGGCTATTCCTTGAGGAATCTGGATCTCAGTTGTTGATATCACCATATACCTGGTCACTGAAATTAGAAAGCCAAGGAGCCATCCTTAACTTACACATTTTCCTCACTCCTCACATCTACCAATCACTAAATCTGGCTGTTCTCATTCCCCTGAAGATTTTTCAGAGCTGCCCCCTTCACTCCATCCTATCACTATTGCCTTAAATGAGGCCTTCATTAGATCCAGCCTGGACAAAAACCTCCAACCTTGTCCCTACCTTGTAGCTGCTCCCCTCTGTCCATTATCCACATAGCTCCTAATGCTCTAACATGAAGATCCAATTATGTCACTGTCCTGGTTAAGAATGGCTAGTGTGGCTTGGTTGAGTGCCATCCTGTACACCAAGAGGTCTCTGGTTTGATTCCTAGCGCTCTCCCTCGCCCTTCCTCTCTCTCTAAAAAAAAAAAAAAATCAATAGCCCTGGCTGGTTTGGCTCAGTAGATAGAGCGTTGGCCTGTGGACCAATGAGACCTGGGTTCGATTTCGGCAAGGGTATGTGCCTCAGTTGCAGTTCATCCCCAGCCCTGGTCAAGGTCGTGTGGGAGGCAACCAGTCAATGTGTCTCTCTCACATCAATGTTCGTTCTCTCTCTCTCTCTCTCTCTCTCTCTCTCTCTCTCTCTCTCTCCTCCCTCCCCCCTAATCTGTCTAAAGATAAATGGAAAAATATCCTTGGGTGAGGATTAAAAAAAAATCAATAAAAACACATTTTATTTATTTTTTAATTAATTTATTTTATTTTATTTTTGTTACAGATGTTTCTCCTTTTTAACCCCATTGACACCCTCCTCCCCATCCCCCAACCCCATCCCCAGCTTTGTTGTCCATGTCCATTGGTTATGCGTACACGCATGTAAGTTCTGTGGTTTATCTATTCCCTCCACCACCACCCCCTCCACTGAGGGTTGTCAGTCTGTACACTACTTCCATGTCTCTGGGTCTACCCTATTCCTCAGACTGTTATGTTCATTATATTCCACAAATAAGTGAGATCATGTGGTATTTGTCTTTTTCTGCTTGGCTTGTTTCGCTTAGGATAATACTTTCCAGGTCCCTCCATGTCATCTCAAAGGACAAGAGATCTTTCTTTCTTACAGCTGCATAGTACTCCATTGTGTATATGTACCACAGCCTTTTTACCCATTCGTCTACTGATGGACACTTGGGCTGTTTCCAGATCTTAGCTATTGTAAATAGTGCTACTATGAACATGGGGGTACATATACTCATTCTGATTGGTGTCTCAGGCTTCTTAGGGTATATTCCTAGAAGTGGGGTCACTGAGTCAAATGGTAATTTAATTTTTAATTTTATGAGGCAACACCATAGCGTTTTCCATAGTGGCTGTACCAGGCTGCATTCCCACCAGCAGTGTACTAGAGTCCCCTTTTCTCCACACCCTCGCCAACACTTATTTGATGATTTGTTGATGGCAGCCATTCTGACAGGTGTGATTGTCGTTTTAATTTGCATCTTCTGGTGATTAGTGATGTTGAGCATTTCTTCATATGTCTCTTGGCCATTTGTATGTCGTGTTTGGAGAGGTGTCTATTCAGCTCCTCTGCCCATTTTTTAATTAGGTTCTTTGTCTTCCTTTTGTTGAGTTGTATGAGTACTCTATATATTTTGGAAATTAATCCCTTATCTGACATCAAAGTTACAACTAAACTACAGAACAACCATTATTCAAAACCGCTTGACATCGAGCTGAATGAAGTCCTACAACTATGGAATTAAAGAAGCAGCCACATTGAGACTGGTAGGAGGGGCAGAGGCAGACAGGCTGGTCCCACAGACACGTGTGGCAGATAAAAATCAGGAGGACACCTCGGCTGGGAAGGTCCTCCCTGAGGACTGAGGGGCCCCCGCCCCACAACAGGCGCCCTGCTCAGGGTTCCAGTGCCAGGAAGAGAATCCCCATCACTTCTGGCTGGAAAAACCAGCGGGAACTGAGGCTCAGGGAGGCTGAGGGGGCTTGGATCCTCCTCTTATAGGGCCCGTGCACAGAAGTATGGGACTCTCTCCCTCTAAGCATTGGAGGGGAGGCGGCTCGAGGGGTGCCAGAGCCATATAGAGAAGATCTGAGCTGTTTGGCATTGGAGCAAGGGCTAAGAAGGGGCTTTCTCTGGGATAAATGTGCTGTCAGAGGCCTTTGTTCCTTTGGTGAGCCCTTCTCTGGGGCGGCAGGCAGCAGCCATATCTGGGACTCCAGCAACTTGGCTCACACTGGTTGCCCGGCCCTGGTGATTCCCTGAGGCCCCGCCCCACCCAACTTTCAGGCCCACCCAGCTGTTGCCAGTTGCTTAACCATAGGATTGGCCTGTCTTGGATCCTGCTTCAGGTTTTCCTAAATTCTTTCAAACAAGCAGTATCTGGTCTCAGATAGCCCCATACCTCTTGTTAAGTAATACACAGAAACACTCAGAGAGGCAGCCAAAATGAGGAGACAAAGAAACAGGTCCCAAATGAAAGAACAGAACAAAAATCCAGGAAAAGAACTAAGCGAAATGGAGATAAGCAACCTAACAGATGCTGAGTTCAAAATACTGCTTATAAGGATGCTCAATGAACTTAGTGAGGGCCTCAAGAGCATTAAGAAGGACCAGTCAGAAATGATGGATGCACAGTCAGAAACGAAGAAGGCACTAACTGAAATAAAGAATAATTTACACATATTCAATAGTAGAGTAGGTAAAGCCAAGAAGCAAACCATCGATTTGGAATACAAGGAAGCAAAAAACACCCAATCAGAACAGCAAAAAGAAAAAAGAGGCCCCAAAACTGAGGAGAGTGTAAGGAGCCTCTAGGACAACTTCAAGCGTGCCAACATTCGCCTCTTGGGGGTGCCAGAAGGAGAAGAGAGAGAACAAGAAATAAAAAACCGCCCTGGCCAGTTTGGCTCAGCAGTTAGAGCGTCAGCCTGCGGTCCAGAGAGACCCGGGTTCGGTTCCCGCTAAGGGCATGTACCTCGGTTGCAGTTTGTCCCCAGCCCTGGTTGGTTGTGCGGGTGGCAGCCACTCAATGTGTCTCTTTCACATCGATGTTTCTCTCTTCTCTTTCTCTTCCTCTCTCTCCCTCCCACTCTATCTGAAGATAAATGCAAAAATATCCTCAGATGAGGATAAAAAAAAAAGAGAGAGAGAAAGAAATCGATAACCTATTTGACACAATAATGGCAGAAAACTTCCCTAACTTATGAAGGAACTAGACATACAAGTCCAGGAAGCACAGAGAGTCCCAAACAAGATGAACCCCAAGAGGCCCACACCAAGACACATCATCATCAAAATGCAAAAGGTTCAAGACAAAGAAAGAATCTTAAAAGCAGCAAGACAAAAGCAGTTAGTTACCTACAAGGGAGTTCCCATAAGACTGTCAGCTGATTTCTCAAAAGAAACTTTGCAAGCCAGAAGGGAGTGGCAAGAAATATTCAGAATGATGAAAAGCAAGAACCTACAACCAAGATTACTCTATCTTGCAAAG